AGAGCGGCGGGAGGGCGAGCGGGAGCGTCGGTCGCCGCGGGCCGGGGAGCGGCGCGAGGGGCGAGAAGGCAAGAGGCGGGTCTCGCGCGCCGGAGAGGACCGCGCCAGCCGGGAGGAGAGCTGCTGCTGCAGGTCGTCCTCGCGCCGGCGGCCGTCGGGGGAGGGGCGTGGGGGGTCGCGGCGATCGTTCGCCCGACGCTTGGGGCGTCCCGCGTCGTCCCCCCATTCCCGAGGCATGGGTGGCACGGAGGGGGAAGGAGGCGAGGGAAGGCCGGCAGCGCCGGCGAGGGAAAGTCGAGGCGGGACGGCAGCGGCCGAGGGGGCGAGGCAGGGAGCAGGCGGCGCGGGGGTGGGAAGGAGTGGAGGGCGAGGGAACCCTACCGGCGGCCAAATGGACCGCGTCGGTGGGCCTGCGGACGCCTTGGGGCGAGAACGGGCCAGGCGGGGCCCATCCGGCCTGCCAAGCCGGCCCACCGAAGCCACCGAGGACGGTCGCCCATGGGCCGCACCCGCAGCCGCCGTCCCGAGAGGGGGCCCAGGAACCAGGTCCGTGGGCCGGCCCAATATCACCGCAGCCCGAAACGACCGCCCCGGAGTGACCAAGCGGGGCGCTAGGGTTTCCCCGAGCACCACCGCGGTGGCCGCTGGCGGGGGTGCACGGGGGCGGCGAGGGGGAGGCGGGCCGGAGGGACGGCCGTGGGGAAGGGGTCCGGCGGGCCGACCGGAGGGGAGAAATGGGCGGAAGGGGTTTCGGCAAGGAGGTGCCAGAGCGAGCGCGGGCGGGGACGGGCCGGCGGTGCAGGCGAGGTCGGAGCCAAGGGGAGGCCGGCGACGGGCGGGGGCTTCGAGGAGGCTAGCGCCGGGCCCCGGTCAGCGCGGCCGGCAACTCCCTAGCTGCCAGCGCGACGCCGTCGGGGGGCAGCCCAGACCCAAAGGCAGTGCCTTTCGTCACCCGATCCGGGGAGGCGGCCAGGGGGAGATGCCGGCGCCGACCCGACCCGCGGGCGGCCGATCTCCCACCCCTGGGAGAAGGGCCACTGGCGAGGTCAGGTGGCGGCCGTGGCTGGGTCTTGGGGGGGACCCGATCCCGGCAAACGACGGGGCAGCCGGCAGCCAAGTCGTCGGCCTCGACGATGTCGGCCCACAGCAGCCGTGGCG